ATATATATAGCAACATTTATTCACTGGTCTGTCCCAACTATTGACACAAAATTTTCATGCAATAATATAAAAAGAACAGCACAATCTAATTGCTTACTAACTTGCATTCCTTCGGGCTCAACAACCTGATCACTGAGGTACTTTGTTTAATCTGATATATGTTTACCCGGAGAAGGACTGAAGCAGCAGTTAATCACTGACCTGCATTTGAATTAGAATCTAATTACCTTACTTTCCATTTAATACCTGTACCTTAAGGTTCCATTAAAAAAACGAGGATAACGAACAGTGATCGATCTAAAAAAAATCTACAAACAATACAAATCTGTAAACAGGGCATAAAACAAGGACCTTGGAAATATCAGAGGTGGGATCAGGTGCCTAAGAGGAGTAAGCATCCCCTGTCGACTGGTAACACCCGCCGTGAAGTAGACTGAATATTCCTTAGTCAAATTTAGTATACCATCAAAGGGGCCTAATAATTGGCATGACACGTCAGCCAATGAAGGGCCATATTTGCTAAAATCGTAAAGATAACAATTTTAGAATATAACTACATAAGGAAAGTGACGATGGAAAAGCTAAAATCATTTCGTTTGTCACACAAATTAGTTTTTTGTCAGCCTATAGGCAGTAAAACATCCAAATATGAAACAAATGTGGCAGAATCTGTAGTATCGTTTATTTCGAGTTCACTGGGATTTCACGTTGACATTTGAATGGAAGTAATTCAAGTTTTCAAATATTTGACATCAGCAGCTAGCACCCATTGTCAAGCAGCGTTCATAATAATACATGTATTGTCCCTTCAATACAATAAACAAACAAACAAAACAAAACAAAATTCCAAGAGATAAAAAACATAGTTCATTATGATTTTATTAATGACTTTGTTTCTCTTGTTCGTAAATTCGGCGGGTCTTTCGGATGAAACCTAAAAAAAGGCCCCATGTCACGGTAGGCGTTGGCACGATAAAGAATCCTCACTGCTTAATGGGCCTGAGTGCCGAGTAAATGTCTAAATTTGCCCGTCACCGCCTACCCTGACACGGGGGCCCGGTTTTTAAGGTCTAATCCGAAGGACTTGCAACTTTCACTTCAAAGTGCCAAGCGCTTAGCGAAGGAATAGTTGCTACCTATTCTTTATCGACTTAGGTCAGTCACGGCCGTGATTCAAACACACGACCTTAATCTTCCGATCACGGAGCGAGCGCTCTACTGACTGAACTACCGTGACGGCACATATGAATTCAAGTAACTATTGTTAATTGATAATACGTCGTTGATATATCTAAATGTCAAGTTAAAGGGGCACAGTAAGTGTTTTCTTATTATGTAGACGTTTTTGAATAAATTCTGCTTCATATGAATATAAAATTGGTCTGCTAAAAAGGGGTGCATTTAGTACTAATGGGAATTCCGACGTATTGTTGGAAGATTTGATCTCCAAGAACTACATTTATGTCTCTCACTGATTTCCTAATATAAGCAGCTCACCGCAGCTTGATTTTTGCTCTGAATTTCCTAAATACGACAGGACAATTATATGTGAGAATAAAATTGTGATTTATTAAATACAGTAAATGACAAAAAATAAGGTTTTACAAACAAGGGGGAAAATCAGCAAATATCAAACATTTTGAGCATATAGGTAAATACATATACAAGATATGAACACATACGTTCTGATTTCCCCCATAGAAAAATACGTCACATCTCAGTTCTGACTAGATCAGACACAAACTTTAGAAAAATTGATATACTGCTAACAAAAAGCAAAAAGATGGCAACAAATAAGGCCCTACAAAAAGCAAAATATATTTAAAATGTGACATTAACAAAAACTCGTAAAAATTGATTTTTAGTTTTACATCAAGAATATTAACTTCAACATGAAAAGGATGCAATAGAGTATATAATACACAAATAAAAATACACAACAAAAAATACAGTATTTATCTAGATTTCAATCCTGACTACAAATGAGAACAAAAGGGGGAAATGAGAATGGGAAGGCGGTGGGCAAGTAAAATTCCACAGGTTTAAAAACTTGTTCTGGCAATGATAATAAAACCACGTGACTCTTTATTTAATTTTCATTGGTTAAGGCTCCATCAATTTTCGTTCATATTCCCCAGGGATTCAAGATAGGGTTTGATCAACATGGGTTCAAAAAGGGGTAGCTATTATTGTAACAGTATCGCCATAAATGCTATTATCTACATAAGAGGTGTTAGATATTGGCATTCAGAAAGTCAAACATCTTTTTAATATCAACTTCGGAGTACTTGAATACACTATGTTTTTTTAAATAAAAAAGAATCCACAAAAGACCAATGACGAAGTACTTAAATTTACAAATTCCGTTTTTATTAAAAAAGCAGCTGTCTATGATGTCAAAAAGCCTTGACTTTTATATATATATATATATATATATATATATATATATATATATATATATATATATATATATATATATATATATATATATATATATATATATATATATATATATATATATATATATAATTTAATTTTGTTTGTATTCTAGCCTCTGATTGGTTAATATCCAAAAAGGAACACAAATTATTTCTGTATAACCTGGTTTGGTATGGGGACACACCCCCTGACAACCAGCTGAATCGTCTGTATCCATGCAATCCTCTCATTTCCAGTCCTCGGGATTCATGGAAAATTCCAGATTTAATAAATGTACCTTTAACTTCAAACAGTAACTTGAATCTTACCAAATGTAAACAAAACAACATGGCTGCTAGGACTATGTATCAGTTTTTACCTCCCCTCGCTTCCCATCACTTCCGTTACTAGGGTTGTATTATTGAGCTGCAAATTTGAACTAATAAAAAGCAACGAAATTTTACACCCACAGTTGTTTAATGATTTTAGAATTAAATTATAAGGAATGACTCTAATTCTTGGCCAAATTATTCGAGTATAACCTGGTTTGGGTCAGTTAACGCTGTTTTATAATCCGCTTCGCGGATTATAAAGCGTAAACTGACCCAAACCAGGTTATACTCGAATAATTTGGCCAAGAATTAGAGTCATTCCTAATATATATATATATATATATATATATATATATATATATATATATATATATATATATATATATATATATATGTGTGTGTGTGTGTGTGTGTGTGTGTGTGTGTGTGTGTGTAGGACTCCAAAGTGCGATGGGACTCCAAAGTCCGATGGTCACGCCAAAGGTCGATGGTCTGCGCCAAACCCCGATGGTTTGACACGCCAAAGTCCGATGGTGCGAAAAAACGATTGACGTTTGTGACGTCATAGTACAACTGCGCCAAAATGCAATGTCGCGCCTTGCCAAGATCTTAAATAAGTATAAATAAATATCATTATGCGAAAACTAACCCTAATCTCTCGGATAGGTGCGAAACTAACCCTAATCGCTCGAAAAGTATGTAACAACTATAACCTAGATATCTTGGGTGGGTGCGAGACTTGGGTTGGTGCGAAGCAAGGACTAATCCTAATCAGTCGAGTGGTGTGCGAGGACTAACCTAATATCTCTGGTGGGTGCAAGCAATATAAGCAAAATCAGTAAAATTGTATGCGAGGATGAATACTGAACTGATGGCTTTTGAATGCAGAACAACGGCGTCAAGGATTGACGTCGGAATATTGTGACGTCATAAACGTTTATTGTTTCTCGCACCATCGGACTTATGCGTGTCAGACCATCGCACTTTAGCACAGGGCGTCTCATAGGAAACGAGCCATCGGACTTTGGCGTGACCATCGGACTTTGGCGTGACCATCGGACTTTGGCGTCCGTACCGACATCAAAACATCGGGGTTTGGCGCAGACCATCGGGGTTTGGCGAGACCATCGGATTTTGGCGTCACCATCGGACTTTGGAGTCTTACATATATATATATATATATATATATATATATATATATATATATATATAGAGAGAGAGAGAGAGAGAGAGAGAGAGAGAGAGAGAGAGAGCGCTAAAATGTTTTGAAACACATGAAATTTGAAATATGTTTTAGATTTGATTAATTTATTACAAAACTTGAAATCATTTGTAAATGTGCTAAATGATGAACGTGCGTAACACATATATTAAATTTATGTTGCAATTGTATTTTTGTAGTACATCATTAACTTTAGAAACATGATTTTTACTAACCATGCACGTTTGGAGAGTTAAGAGAGAGAGAGAGAGAGAGAGAGAGAGAGAGAGAGAGAGAGAGAGAGATGTAATAATATGACTTTGTAGAGTTAAAAAAATCTTATCGAATATTTCCATTTCTATATCAGGCTGTAATATATTGTTAAAAAGCAAAACCAAAACATTTCTAAAAAATAAAAGATGAATTAAAAAAATATATAAAAGAAGAGATGAGTGTGGGGTTAAAATTCCCTTCTCAATTTCAGGGGAAAAAATTCGGTGAAAGATCGTGTGAAGTTTTCAACATACTACAAAAGAAGTCATTGAAAATCTTAATAAAGTTTTAACAGCTCAGAAAAAGGGGATTACATTACTAACGGCAATAAATGATAATGTAGCTTTTAAAGAATATGTAAAAATTATATAATTAACTGGATACAGGAAAGACAGAAAATTATAGACAATTCTCAAAGTTGTATTTCAGTCTTTCAGGCTTTGAAAACTAGTTGCCGCTAAATGATCAACGATATCTTAAAGATTTAAAATAGCTAACGAAATCTTTTACAAAGTCTTTATACATGTATTTGTAGTCTCTTTCTGTTCAATCTTTCAATTTTGATTGGCAGGCTGCTATTATCATTCCTTATTAAGGTTAATGAAGTTAAAATAAGTTATAAATAAAAATTGGTTTAGATAATTATCATTTGGTTTTCCAAAACATTGACTTCATTTATCTTTTTTGTCCAAGGTTTCTTAAAAAATATTCAACAAGGAAATCGCTTTAAAAACGCATTGATTGGTGGATGTAGGTACTCTGACAGTATATAAGGCATCAATCTCGATCATCTAGCTATCTGCAGTGTCCTAAATCAACATGGGAAAACTCCTCGTTTTATTGACTGTTCTCTGCCTGATGGCCATGACGACCGGTAAGTGTACTTTCTACAGTATATTATCTCTCTCTCTCTCTCTCGTGCAGTTATGTTTCTTTTTTTCAAAGTTAATCTAATTTTTTTGTCAATTTTAGAATTATAATCAATTTCGTAAAAAATCAAGTCAGAATTGCTTAGGATATTATTTTCTATAATTTACAGGGCCCTTTGAGTCAAGGATGCAATTATTATTTTTTATTTTTCCAAAAACTAAACTATACAAATGTAATGAAATGTATATTTCTCAAAAATGAAAAGTTAATTTTTTCAATGACAGTTAAGTATTTTAATGCAGTGTTGGTCTGATTATTCAAATTATGACCAAGAAGTCTTCATGGTGGCAAATTGATACACTGTAATATGCAAACACCATGTTTGAAAAAAGATTTTACTGCAATATATGATCTCTCTAACGGTTGCATTTTTCAAAAGTTACATTTCCTTCCATTTATTTTTCTATAAGATTTTTAATAAAATTAAATGAGATTCTTTTTCTCATGATCTTATTCAAAAGCGCAGAAATCTGCATGATTAACGGATTTATCACTAGGCCGAAAAAAACAGCAATTTTTTAAACTATATTTTAATAACAACAAAAAATACTTTAATGAATAAATAAATGAAAAATAGCGCTCTAATCACTTGAGTCGAATTTTCAATCTATTGAAATATATAGAAATGATTGGAGGTTTTTATAGTAATTCTACAACCTTTCTTAATTTCAGCTTACTATTATCATCATGGCGGACAGAAACGTTGCGACTATCATCGCAGATGTTATTATGACTTCCACTGTTACCGCGGAGAATTTTGTAAAACTGTGTCCCAATTCCCCTACAGGATTGGCTACTGCTGTAGTTATTGTAAGTATCTGTCCATGTCTATAATGTAAATAAAACAATGAAGATTAATAAAATCATTCATTACTACGAGTGTGGGATAGTGAAATTCCATTGAGGGGACAAGATTCAAGGTATAGCACGAGGCTTTGCCGAGTCCTAGACAGCGAATCTTGGCCTCGAGGTGAAATTTCATTATCCCACACGAGTATGTAACGAATGATTATTTTTTCGCATTATTTTACCCAAAATAACGGCATGCCATCACCATTGGGGAAAAAAAATATTTTTAATTTCTCATCCAATAAAAAATCTGAATACATCATCAAAGAAATTGTACCTGAAAATGGATTACACTTATGTGTAAACTTAGAAAATAAATTTCAGTCCTCTTAAGTCATTCTGAATTATATTAGAAGGAATGTTTACGTCACCGTTCGCAGCATAGTAATACACAGTGTAAGACAGAAAAATCTCACACTGCTGTCTTACACTGGACAGGTCCATCTAACACCGGTGATTATGCGAGAAATATTAATGTTTAATCTCTTCATAATAATTGTCTTTACTCTTAACATTACTAGTTTGTCAAATGTTTTACAAATCCCTTATTTTAATCTCCTTTCTATTTATATAAGGAAGAGATTTGAATATCACTTATAACAAAAGCCGTTATTGCAATATTAACTGAAATGTGAAATACAGTCAATCTATATATTACAGATCGTCGAGGAGGACGTGAATATTATTAGGACAAGAATGGAACGAGGCAGATCACTGGCTAATTGACAAAACGACCTGAAGTTTTAAAGAAAACATACTTGCAATGATCATTGTCAATCAATTTATAATTGAAGCATTTGAATAAAATCTTGCATCTTATGCCAACTCTTTATTTAAAAAAGTCTATTGCATACTTAACAAATTCCGACTTAAAGAAACCTTTATGAAACTCACTTGCTACTTGAAATTATTAGGATTTATACTTTATACGAGATACCCCCAGCTGATTCTATGGTTTCTTCCTCCGATTTCTAGATTAAACCAACATTTATGCACACTTCATTTGGGACTTTTTTGCTTGTTTTTTTTTTTTTATTTTAGGTTTTATAAGAAGAATTTTTAAATCTTGAATCATTTGAAAATTGAAAAATAAGGGGTTTCTGCAAAGAAAATCATATTGGTGCAGGGAAGCAGATTAGATTAATGGTATCATTTTATTTTATATTGTTTCAATAAAACACACGATTTCGTAAGCTTAAACATAAATGAAATCAGAACAGAATTTTGATCCTGCCAGTTATCCAGATTTATTTCTATTTTTTGTAATTTAGCACATGCCGGTGACAATCATATAGAAATATGATTCTTTACTCCTAAAAAAAAATGAATAATTAGAAATATTCATTTATGTATTTTATTCGTACGAGTATTCAACAATTTCTCAGATTCGTAACGAGAAAGAGATTTAAGCCTGTCTTTACAGTAACGTTTTGAAGTATGATCCATTTCAGTATACCGATCTCGATGTTGTCATACAATTTAAAGTACAGTGTCATGAGCTCATAAACATGTCATATGTAAACTTAAGAAAGCGGGCTTCATATTTTAGCGGCTTTGGCGCGGACAACAATGCGCTAATTCATGAATACCGTTCATAAATCATTTATAAATACAATACGCGGTGCGGAAGTGTGTAGCACTAATTCATGATTACGCCAACCACGCAATTCCAAGTGATTGCGCTAAATTTTGAATACGTCAATTTATGTACACGTACAGTATGCAGTTATCGAAGCACTGCGTCCTAAATTTCTAAAGACATAAGATAAATTTACTGTTTCCAGTATTTTTGAAAAGTAGGTCAAAGGCCAATTTCATGTTGGTAATGCTGATATTTTTCATAATGTCCTACATACCAAATAGTATAGACTTACTTCTCAAATGTTGAAAAAATATCCTGTCTATCCGTATTAATTACTATTTTGAAAAGTAGGTAAAAGGTCAATTTAAAAAAGTTATCCATGTTATTTTACAAAAGTCCCAATGCCAACCAATACATGACCAAATATCACAGCCATATTTCTTACATTTCTCAAGAAATAAGATTTGACTGACGCTCAGATGTACAGACGGACAGACAGTCAAGTGACCCTTAATTGTCGCTCTGCTGTGCAGGCGACACAAAAATAATGTACCACTATCAAAAAATTCAGTTTAGAGATGGTTCTATATCAATGTTCATATTCATGCAATTGTCTCCTAGAAGATAATTAGGGGTATAGAAAAACTCATTTCAATCATGCAAACAGGAATTCCAATAGATGTTCAGTAGAAAAAAATTGGAAATATGTATTTCAATTTATGACTAACCAGGATAATCCTGTGACTGAAATATGGGACTCAAGAGGGATGAATTGTACAGTTTTGGTAAACAGGTAAAGTAATGGTTATTTGCGTCAAGCAGTCTATTAGGTATCCCTCAGGAAAAGAAAATATTTTCAAGGTTGTAATATATCTTTAATAAATAAACAATTTTGACCCATACTAGCGCGTAAACAATGCACAAAGAAACCATGAATTTCACAATTTGGGTAGAGGACCGTTTATATGACTTTTTAAGTAATTTGCCTGCTACAGATTTGTGCCAAAAGTGAAGATAATTTTATTTTTTCTCTATGTATGTTATTGAAAACCACATATAGTTAAATTGCTTGCAAATGGTCAATTTTTGTCCAATTTCATTATTTATGCCAGTGCTTAAACCGGAAAATGTGTAGTTATCTTTTTCTAAAAGATCATTACATATTTAACTTTTAGAAAAAGATAGTACATCATTTACATCAGTTCTAAAATTCAAGATCAATGTTGTCTATATAATTCATTGTGCGTATATGACTAAAATTGTCATGTGGCACTTAAATTAAAATATTTTTAGATATTGATACTGATCAGATAAAAACTATTGTTTTTATTAAATATAATAATTTCTTGAATTATAGAGACATTTTTGGTAAAATCTGTCAAGAAATGTTGTCATTCCAGTGATTTTACAAAATGTTGTTTTCAATGAAATACATAGAGAAAAAATAAAATTATCTTCACTTTTGGCACACATCTGTATGTGTACACAAGTAGAGAAAATTTCAAAGATGAAAAGCATTTTTAATGTATAGTGTGATCAAGACCTTCCCTGAAGCCTGAACAATAGGTCCTGCTACCATTCATTTCAAAGTTTTGTAAAAAGATTGAGTACTCATTACAATCATGCCAATGGTTTGACTGTTGAATTCGAAGAATAAAACGAATGTTTTGAAAATTACTATAATATTGATGTCGCCCGCGTGGCGCAGTGGTTAGAGCGTTCGCTCTAGAGTCGCGGAGTAAGGAGTTGATCCGTACGTCGCGGGTTCGAATCCCACTGCGGCACGTGGAGACCGGTCCTTCGGATGAGACCGTATAAACCGAGGTCCCGTGTCGCAGTAGGTGCTAGCACGAAAAAGATCCCTCACTGCTCAATGGCCCTGAGTGCCGAGCATAGGTCAAAATTTGCAGCTCTCCACCGGCAAGTGGTGGCGTCTCCATATGAGTGAAAAATTCTCGAGAGGGACGTTAAACAACAAACAAACAAACAAAAAAACCCCCAAAATATTGATGGTTTTTGTAGCAGTCCTGCTTCTAAGTTAGATTCTCGCATGATCTAAGAATATCATAAGCAGTTTATACTGCATATTTTCGGTTTATTCATTTTTTCTGCAAGTATGACGCTTATTGAAACCCTTATATCATTATTTGACGCTTTCTTATGGTTTCATGCTATAAAGAGATCATAACGCATTTGTTGTGTGATAATATTTGAATTTACTGCCACATTTCATAATAATCTGTCACAAAACCATAAGGGACTACAGGAGTACACGATGACAGATCCCTCAGAGATTGAGGGAAACATTGCTATCTATAGGGAGTCTGAGAGTTTCCTAAGTGATTGCTTTACGATAAATCGAAATCATTGAAAATTGCTGAGAAATCAAAGGTGACCAACGAAGATTAATATATGACCAAGTTAGACCACAGAAACAGCTTTAGGGCCAAGATCATGTTGCATTCCTTGAAAAAAGCTTTTAAAGATCTCCGAGAGATCACAGGGAGATCTTTCTAAGCTCTCTTGGTGATCTTTAAATGATTAATTACCATACTAAGGCTAGATTCAAGACTTTGAAGTGACCACTCAGTCTGTGAAGACCTTTGAAAGATCCTAAGTGATTATCACCATGGCTAGACAACCGTTAAAGATTGTTGAGAGATTTTATTTTGCAACGCTAATGTAACTCTCTATGGTCGTTATCTCTATATGAGGGAGCTAAATTAAGTTGTCTTTTCAGACTTTCAGGTTAAATATCAGTGTTTGAACAAAAACATAAATTAAATAAAATAAATTACATAAAATGATGAAATGTGAAATCGATATACGTATATGAGTGTATATATATATATATATATATATATATATATATATATATATATATATATATATATATATATATATATATATATATATATATATATATATATATATATATATATATATATATATATATATATATATATATATATATATATATATATATATGTATACTATCAGATTAATGAGATTGTGTTACAGTAAGAAAAAATATAAATTGGACTTAATTATTTATAAAATTTAGTTTTACTTTTTCCATAATTGATTTCATAATCATCGATAGCGATAAATATATATTAATATTGATTAATTTCAACACTGACTCTTGAAAGACAGATAACTCTTTTCAGACTTTCAGATTAAATATCAGTGTTTGAACAAAAAAATCCATAAGGAAATCAATGTTTCATAAACCATACAATGTAATATTATTTTTTTATGCATGGAAGGTGTTTTTTTTTTATCTTAAGAAGCAACTTGATAAAGTGGGCTTTCGTCGTGTCACAGAAAATGATGACAGTGACAATGATGTGCTATTTACTCAGTAATAGTCTTCACCTTAAAGGACATAAATAAGGATTTGAAGTTTATATGCTTCAATTTTTTTTTATAGAATTTCAAGACTTACATGTTGCATTGGTGTTCTTGACCCATATATTGTGATGAAAAAAGGTGATGAAAACGAAAAGATCGATATATATATATATAAAAAATACAAATCTGTGAACAGGGCTTAAAATACGGTCCCTTGGAAATTTCATAGGTGGGATCAGGTACCTCAGAAAAGTAAGCATCCCCTGTAGACCTGTGACAAGGCCATGAACATTATATATTGATCAGATAGACGGAATATTCTGTAGTTAAATTTAACATAAAACAGGCCTAACAATTGGTTTGTAACACGTCAGCAAAAAAAAAAAAAAAAAAAAAAAAAAAAAAAATTAAAAAAACGATCGTGCTTAGAGCATGCTTTTGAATACCGAATAAGTTGGGAAATGTATTTGAATGTGTAATTGAATGCTACAGCAAAAGTTTTCCATATCTCATGTAGAAGTTATTGAATAAATTCTGCTTTATAGGGATGTAAAAACAAATAATAAAGAAGCACAACTATTGCCCATCGTAATTCCAAAGGTTTGTTGGAAGACCTGGTCTCCGAAGACTACATAGATGTTGTCAATGAGGAACTCCAGCGATCATTTAAAATCAACTTTAGAGTACTGGTGTGTATAGTGGGTTAATTTTAACAAAGTAATTTTGTTGATGATTACAAGATATGAAAGTTCCCGAGTTCCAATTTTCGTGAAGAGGCATTTGTTTATGATATAAAAAGCATAGTTTTAAATTATCGTGAGGAATGGTTGTATAAAGGGTAAGAAAGTCGTATGTTTAGATGTTACTTACATTTGAAAAAGTA